ACAGCCAGTTCCATTTACTGACCGAGTCATGGATTATGCCACTGGTGGTAGACTGGAAAGAGGCCAGCTTTACACCAAATTATTCATAACTGTTGTCCTCAAAGATGGGTCTTATTTGTCCCATTTTATAGATGAGGAACGGAAGCTCAGAGAGTTGAGTAACTTACCAAGGATATTTAGCTAGTACATAGCTGAGCTGAGGATCTGAACCCAAGTCTAACTCCCATCTTCATTCTGCTCTCATCCATTCCTCACAGCCAGCACAGAACTGAGCTGAACTAAGCTGCCAACGTTATTTTCTCCGCAATATTATGCTTTCTCAGAATTCATTTGCCAGTGAATCAGGATGACTTCTTCTTGAGAAACCACAGGAAGGCATAAAACAGCCTAGTTTATGTAGGCATTAAGCCCCGTGTGTCTGTGTTTAAGATTTCGCCTAACAACGGTGTTAGGCATTATCCGATTGCATTTGGGTGGAAATTTTTCTTGCCCCATGTAACTACTGGTGCTTTAGATAAAAATCTGAAATTAGTTTATTGAAGCTGGTAATTGAAACCACAAAGAGAAGAATATCTCAATGCTTGTCAATAAACCAGCCCATTAATTATTTCCACCTACTCAACTTCGAAGAAAATGACCAGGTTGATGCCTCTGAATAACCACATGACCCACTTGAAGTTTATATAAAAGCTGCATCCTCTTGGCTTCAAGAAGCGCATATCCACAATGTTGAAACCAGCTGGGACATGAGAATCAAACGCCAGGTAAAAAGCATACAGCCACTGAAAGCAGGCGCTCTTCTTCAGCCTTCAGAAATTCTGAAAGTTCACCAACACAGTATCAGACAACGATTTCCTACAATTTAAACCTCTGGTGGAACAATTTTAAAATGCTGCAAAAGATCTGGATATCTTGGAATACGGTGTCCTGGATCTGCGTGAGTATGTAAACACCTTCCTCTCCCACTCTCCCCCTAACTCGCACTCTCTCTGTATGTGTGCACAAAATTATCCCCTTATACAAATGTCAAAAGTAGGCAAATGATGAAAGTGCTGTAACCCAGATGTGTGTGGACGTCAGCTGAGCCTCGCCTCACAGCCCACCCCAGCGGCGGGTATTGCAGCCTTCTGCAACTTCTCAATGCGTTCACGTTTGTGTGATCCTACAGAAACCTCCTGCTGTTCCAGTCTGTCTTGAGTTTGACATGTATTGAGGGCATTTTCTTTATCATTTGCAAAAATAACAGGCCTCAGTTATCTTCATGGTACATTAGGAGAAATAATCTTCATGCCATCACTGAGCCTTGGGGCCCAAGCACAGCAGAATCAGTCACCAAACAGGGAACAAAAACACAAATGATCTGTTGGTCTCTTCCAAATTTTGCGCTAGGATGGATTGTCCAATAAATCTAAGGGGTATTTTCTGTTGAGATGCTAGACTTAGCTTCTATGATATAGCCATTTCACCAACACATGTAGCTTCTCCTCTTAACTTTCCTTTTTGACTTTTGCATTGATACGATTTCTATTAGCGGGCAAGAAAACATGCAGGCATCTCACTAATTATAGATCTCTATCATCCCCCAAATATTATCAATGATTAAAGCTGGGTGAGTTCTTTGCTTTGAAATGTTCCTGGTCCAACTGAAGTACCACTAGCCCAATGCAGGTTCCCACTGCCACGCACCTTAGTTTTTGCAACACTTCCTTAGATAAATTCCCCGCCTCCAGGGTCAGTTTCACATCACAAATGACATGAGAGCTGGGTGGAAAAGGAAGAACCAGGACTGGAAATTGCACTAGATCTGTGGTCCACAACAGAATTTAGCGCACAGCAAGGGTCACGATTAGGTGACTCTAGACTTGTGTCCCCCTGTAGCCCCAGGGCTCTGCTTTGATGCCACCATTATATCCCCAGTTTCCAGAGCTTAGCGCAGAGTAGGTGCTCAATAACTATTTATCAGATAAATGGATGCATGGATGAGAGAGAGCAAGACCAGGCTGTCTGCTTTGCATATTGATTTCTGCCTATGCTGGTCATATTACAGTCCTTCAATACAACCATGGATGAACAGATGCACATCATTCTGTTTCATTTCCATACCCTCAACAACACAGTGTGCTCCTTCCTATTTCTGGGCTTCTTCTCCCCCCAGCTTCACTGAGATATGATTGACAAATAAAAATTGTACATATTTACGTTGTACGACGTGATTTTTTTAAGGTGTACAATGTGATGATTTAATACACATATACATTGTAAAATGGTTACCACAACCAAGTTAATTAACCCATCCACATAGTTACCTTCTTTTTTTTTGTGGTAAGAATACTTAAGATCTACTTCCTTAGCAAATTTCAAGTATATAATACAGTATTATTAGCTATAATCACCATGTTATGCATTACATCCCCAAGATTTATTCAGCTTGTAACTCAAAGTGTGTACCCTTTGACTTACAAGTCCCCACTCTCCAGCCCCGGTAACCACTATTCTCCTCTCTAGTTCAATGAGTTCGAATCTTGAGATTGCACATTTTTATTCTTCTTTTCTCTCTTGAGCTTCCCCTAGTCAAATCCTGCGCATCCTACAATTCCTAATCTAAATCCCAATCCCTCCATTAAGTCATGCTCTACTATTCAAGCCATCACTCTGGATTTCTAGAGGAGCTGGTTACATGCCAGACCATTTTGTACTTAACTATGCACAGCGATATTGTTCACCGTTTTGCAAATGCATTAGTACCATTTTCTAAGCAAAAGCAAGCACCTCAAGATCAGGAACTCGAACACGTACAGCACCTGACTACAGGGCCTAGGCCTATAAGAGATGATTCGTGAAGTGACTGACCAAGATTAAATCTCTCCAAGGGGCTTTTAAAGAAAAGCATTTGTATTTTAAAAGACACAGCAGTGAAATGGATTTAGTGCTATTTTGACCCTCCTCACCACCCAGTGCCCAAATATCTGTCCCGCCCTATGAAGCTCCTCGCAGTTCCACTCACATGCTTTGCCTGCAGTGGCTCCACTGCCTAGAATGCCCTTCCCCATTGCCCATGCAGAGAGCACATTCTCAACTTTCAAGATGCAAGTCAAGAGACCCTGGTAAGATTTTCTCATCTGCTCTTCCCTCTACTCTCCACTCTCTCTGACGGCATCACATGACCCATCCCTGTGCACCTTGAGCACTCCTCTATACTAATACTCACATCTTCTTGGAATTTTGCACATGCCTGTCTCCCTAACTACAATCGATATTTCTTGAAAACAGATTTCCGTCCCTAAATCACCATTGTTAAGCACAGTGCCTCGTATATAGCAAATTCATAGGCAATGTTGTTTAAATAAAAAAAGGCATAAAAAATACTCAAGACCTGATATATACTAGTAGAAGAAGAGGCAAAGGGGGAGGAGTGGGGAGGACTGCCATTTTACTGAGCATCTACTTTGTGACAGGCCCAGTATTAGGCATTTACTCAGGATGTCTATTTAACATCTGATCACTCTCCCCAGATGAAGTGGGAGATAAGGCCCAATCTCAGGGACATGGTTGTTTTAACCCAGGTTGTGAAGTGCGAATATCAGACCCAGTGGGGATTTGATGGCATTCTTATCAAGGCAAAAATCCAAAGTTGGGTTACCAAACGGAATAAAGAAAGAAGAATGATTCAAGATGCAAAAATCAAAGGAAGAAAGTTAGTGAGGAGATTTGCAGTGGGCAGGAGGAAGGGGAATAAAGGAATTTCATGAGTTGGACAATAAGGAGACAGAGCAATATTTTATTCATTTCTATGTCCATGAGCATGGTATGCTCTGAGCTTTTAAAAGCAGAGCCCTGAGGCAGACATTTGATCCACGTTTGTACTAATCATGAAAGGGAGACTGATGGCTGTATCAAATGATCAGATTGGAAAAAGAACTAAAATGGCACCACCACAGGAGACCCTGACATTGGTCACTATGGCTTTAGAACATACAAGAATGCCTACCTGTGCTGGCACTTATGTTTCCATTTTTAAAGGCATTTCTCATTTCCACACAGCCTTATACAAAGATTCAATGATAAACTAATGTGAAAGTGCTTTGTAAACTGTCACACATTCTTAGTTTCTTAATTCTTCATGTTTACACTGCAATATGCTTACAAATGACCAGCACTCTCTTAGTTAGTTGGATCTCTGCATTTCAGGACAATTTTGCTCTCCTGGTAGGACAACTCAAGTTCATGCACTAAATACAAGGAAAAGATCTTTGTTGTAATGCTTACTCAAACAGATAGCATGGATGTTGGCCTTTCCCTTTATCGTTGTTTCCTAAAGAAAAAGCGAGGTGCTTAACAAACCATACTCCAACTTGCAGCCTCCCCAGGAGATCCGTGGCAAAGCAGCAAAAGAAATTCATACTGATCCAAGTGAAGGTTTTTTTTAAGAGACTGATCCAAGACTCTCAAATCAATGGCTGGGAACATTAAAGTCTAACATCTTCTTTTTGAAATAGTGAGAATCTGAAGTTTCCTCATTATAGTTGGCGGCTCCTGGTCTTCGCTGAGAAGAACTCTAAGTGCCCCGAGGAAACACCAGTTCATGGTGACAAGAGATTAAAAAAGCATTCCAGTTTTAAAGGCCCAGCTGCCTAGGAGACTGCTCAGGAATTTAATCAGCAGTGATACATCCTTAAAAGTTTCCCCTGTAAGTGGCCTGAGCCTCAGCTCCCAGTTAATTCGTGATAGGGCTGCCCCCTCCGGCCTTTCTGCCTTGTCTATGCACTGGGAAATCAGAAAAATCGGCAAAGCTCTCACTCTGGAACACCTTAAGGTTTATAAAGTATGTTCTCGAAACATGTACTTCCACTCTTCTGTGATGTGGCAGTACACGGTTTCATCAACAATTTGGCAGTTCAACAAAAAACCCTTGTGCAAAGTCTGGGTCACCAAACATGAGAATGTTTACCCTCTTCTCTCAGAAGCAGGCAACTCTTTTAACTTTCTCTTTGATCTTCTAGGAAGAAGCAAAACCCAAATCCAGAAGCAATCAGAAGTGATGGATTACTGATCACTATAAACAAACACCAATGGAGCCAGTGTGCAGTGATGAGGCACTAATTTCTGTGCAGAGCAAGAAGCTATGAGCATAGGGGCACTCAGGTAATGCTTGTTCACTGAGGAGATAAGAAGTACACTGTTCTGTTCAATGTTTGAAAAGAAAAGGAGGGGACAGCCCTGTGGCCTAGTGGTTAAGTTTGGCTTGCTCCACTTTGGTGGCCTGAGTTCAGTTCTTGGGCGTGGACCTATACCGCTTGTCAGCAGCCATGCTGTGGCAGCAACCCACATACAAAACGGAGGAAGATTGGCACACGTTAGCTCAGGGCAAATCTTCCTCACGCAAAAACAGGAAGATTGACAACTGATGTTAGCCCAGAGCAAATCTTCCTCAGGAAAAAAAAATACGGGGGGTGGGGGGGAGAGACAGTTAAAGGGTTACAAGTCTTTGTAGGATGCTCTAAATGGAGAGTTGCCCTAATGCTGTGGTTGAAAAATTAACCTTTATTAAGTGCTAACTCCATTCTAGGCCCTGTTATAAGTGTTTATGTATGAATTAACTCATTTAATCCTCACAACAGTCCTAACATGTGAATACAACTATCATCCCCATTTAACAGGTGAGCAAACTGAAACAGAGGGAGATTAAGTTTCACAGATGGTAAGTAGTTCGGCTAGGATTCAAAGCCAGGTGGTCTGGCTCCAGAACCTGCACCCCTTAAACACATGTGATCTGTGATCTTCCTCACCTTGATTCTTGATCTTTAAGGATACATAACAATCAAATGGGGAGCTCATCAAAAGAGCTGATTAGGAACCCCATACCAGAGATTCTGATTAGATAAATCTATGTGGGATCCAGGGGTTTGCATTATTAACAAGCAGCCCAGCCGCTTCCAGTGCAGGTTGCTCATAGACCATACTAATGGGAAAAACCAGCTGATAAAATGAACACATATTGGGAGAGAATAGGTCTCCCAGAGTCACAAGGTCAGCAATGTGACCTGAACAATGACAGATCTAAGGAGAAAAACATATCAACTAAAGGGTGGGTAAGAAAGAATAAAACAGAAAAACAAACATCCACACTTTGCTTCCTGCCCTGCCACACGAGAGAGGCACAGAAAGGTGTTTCTTGGGAGGGTAGAAATATTTCATCAGGACTCACCGGAGCCCTCAAGTTCACCTGCCTTCTTTTGGTCTAATTCCGTGTCCACCAAGAACCCTCTGATACATGTTTCCAAACATTATAAATCTCAAGAAAGAAAAAAGTTGTTTTAGATGGTAGACAGGAATAGTTTCGCTACTGGGAGGCGGGATTTCCCAATTTCCCCCTTATAAACTGTCATGGCGGCTTAGTCATCGTGCTGTGCTATTTTAACGAGCCCCAGTTAATCAGCCCCCAGGGCCTGATCATCTGTGGCTATACCAAGACTATCCTGTTTCTGGGTTTGAGAAGGTGCACCTGACACAGGGCCATGAGGTTTGGACCAGCATGTGACCTCCCACAGGCACTGCCAGCCACCAGACCACACCCCTTAGGGGCCTGCCTCTGTAGTAGGACCCCCACCTCACCAGAAGAGTCCATAGTCTTCATTACTTTAGAAACCATAAACCGCATTTAAAAACCAAAATGCTTTGTGCATAAAGATCTTCACCAGAACATAATTTATAATAAGTAAGCACTGAAAACAATCTAAACATGCAACAATAACAGGGGGATGGGTTAGTAAATTAGGTACATCCACATAAAGAATATTTGTGCAGTCATTAACATAAATTTTAACTACATAGCAAATTTTTACATAGAATACTGTTTCAAATAGATAAAAGAATGTGTACTAGAGGGAGAAAAAATAACCAAAACGTGGATAGAAGTTATCTCTGGATAGTGGGATTATAGGTGAATATTAATGTATATGCAAGTGTGTTCCTATGTTCCAAGCTTTCTGCAATAAGCAGGTGGTACTTTTACAATTAAAAAAAAAATTTAAAGACTGTCATTTGGGTCAAATTTTAACCCTCCAAAGAATTATATTCCGTCACACTGAGATTAATTTTCTAATCATGTCTGTTCTCAGAGTGAGAATGATAAAGAAAAATTGTCGCGCTCTCTGCACCCACTTTCCAAATTTCTGGGCCACTGCGATGATCTGGGCACGTCCAGGAGTGAAATGCAGGTGATCAGCCTGGCTCTCTAAGAAAAGAGGCAAATGACGGTCAGACTTAGCAATGGCCGAGCAGGAGAGTGAGAAACCTCAAGATACGGAGCAAAACTTCTTCCTTTTCATCCCCACCCTTGGACATGAGAAGTTAACAGGGATTTAGTTAAGTGGCAGGGTTTTACCCCAATTGGCTAACAAATCTATTCTAGTCTCAAGAAAAACCAAAGAAGAGGAAATAAATAACAGGAGAGTTCAGCTGCTGATTGATGTTTAAAAGGGACTGGGTTTGATGGGTCAGGTGGTCTGAGGCCTGAGGCTCAGAGCATTAGCTTCCCTGGAGAGTAGGGGCTCCATCAAGGAAGGGGTCAGTGTCCCTGCTGGGACCCCCAGGCCTTCGTGTCTCTTTGAAGAAAAACTGAAACTGATGGCTGGTACATGTTGAATTTTATCCTCTCATACTGAATTCTGCTTAAGCAAAGGCAGACTCTCTCTGGGCTGGGGCAGAAGATTCAGCAGGGCTGAGGCTCTTTACCCTGTGGGTCCAGGGCCTTCTGGAAGGTGTGCGTTACGCCCAGCTAAGCTGAGTTTGCTCTGTCTTTTCCCACCCCAATGAGTTCTGCCATTTAACACAGGGATTAGCAATCTCATTTCCCAGGACTGTCACCAAAGGATCAGAGTCAAACCACTTAGGGGAGCTAGGCTTGTGCAAAATTTTGAGGTTGGCTAAATTGCTTTTCTACATCTTTTCACCTGCCTTTTAAGCCTCGTTCCTGCCGGGTTCCTTTACTAGGTGGTCTGCGTTTCCCTCCCTCACTCTTTCTGTTTACCTCTCCTGCACCCCACAACCGGTATTACATGTATCACAATCCTACACTCTGAACTACAACTTGGCACTTATGACCAGACGTATGCAAATGCACTCCTAGGAGGGGTGGCAGAATGCTCAAAACTTGTGCTAGATCAGAAATTCAAGCCAGAGGAGGACTGTATCCAAACTATCCCAAAAAAGGTGGCAGGCAAAGTAAAAAATTAAAAAACAAAAAAAAAAACAGACAAAGTGGAAGGGACTAAGGAAAGAAAGAGCCTATGGTAGAAGAGCTAATGTACCACCAACCTGGACCTCAAGACCAGCTGATAAAGGTCCCAGGGCTCAGGCCATCTGTCATTACAGCACAGGATAGGGCTCCAAGGACAGCAGAGGGAAAAACCCAGGACTTACAAAACATGAAGAATGAAGTCTCTTCCACGTTTCTCCCTTTTCGTTCCTTCTGTACATCTTTGAATCCTCCTGTCTAAACGAATCATCCACTAAGAGGGCTGACAACTTTCAGTTTCTCCCTGCTTCCCCTTCCCTACATTGATCTTCACTGTGGCCTCCCTTTGTCTAGCTTTCAAGACCCTCCACTGGCTGGCAGCAAGCCGTCTTTGGGGCTTACCAGAGTCCCATGCTCTTCTTCATGCACCTTGGCCTCCAGCTGAACAAGATCTCCACCACTCCCAGTGTATCCTAGGGCTTTCTTCTCTTCATCACGCTATGCTGTTTGCCTCATATGCCTACTCATTAAAATCCCACTCATTCTCCAAGGCTGAACTCAACCATCTTAGCCTTTGGGAATTTTCCTCACTGCCCCTTCCTGCCTCAGGAAGTGGTACTCTCTTCTTCCTCTGAAATTCCGTTGTATCCAATGTCATTCTTATGCCACCTCTTGTAATATCTCTTGAGATAATGGCAGAAACCACGTTTTTATGTCCTAATATTCCTTGTAGCTTATAGTGTGATAATGGAAAATCAAGTGTTTGATGAACAAAGGAGGATTCCCGACCACAAACTCTGAGTATCCCCACACCACACTGAGGAGTCTTTCTCGTCTTCTTGCTCACTCCCTCTTGCTCTCATTGCACACAAATACAGTCACGCATTTCTGTCAGTGAGAACAATTCAGATATCTTAATCGAAACATGAAAGATTGATAAGGAAAGGGAAAAACAGTTAAAAAAATAAGGATTAATGTTTCAATTCTCTCAAATAAGACAGATCTTTTTTCCTTGGCCTTTAGAAGGTAATTATTTATGAATTTCTGTAGGTAGAATCCACTTTGTTCCACAGAGACCTTCGGGCACTTTTTACAATGCAAAATCTTGATTTTAGGATGCATCTTCGTATGCCAAAAAAATAAATCAAAGATTTTGTCTAGACTTTCTAAGCCTCCTTTATCTGTGTGGTGATGAAAGACTGGAAGAAGCAGCCCAAATTTCTATCAGGTGGCGAACGGCAGGGCCTCATTAAACCTGACGGAGCTTCACCTGTCTGAGGTTTGTAAACAGAACATACGTTCTCGTCAGTGTAGACGTGACCTTGTGGGTCTCTTTGCAGACTATATTAGTGCTGTGCAAACACTCCCACTCAATTGTAAAGGAACATTATACTCAGGGAAATTATTCTCCCAGCAAACAGACAGATGTTTAACTTCACTTAATATGACACTATCCTCTGAATTCTTAAAGTGAGACAGGGGGCCTTTTTGGAGCTGGAGTAAAACTGTGCATGTCATAGCTGAACAACGCGGGACTTTGTAACGTCAATTAAGTCATTACCTCTTTCTGATTAAAAACTTTCTGCTCCTTTCAAGCTGCTCCCAGCAATGCCACTTGGAGAGGCCACGGCGCACTCAACAGACCTTGGTGATCGCGAGATGAAGAAGGAGGTGGCTGTGATGACATTTATTGGCCTCTCCAAGAACTTTTAAACGTTCTGCTTGCAAATCCCTATAGTATAACATGACAGGACTTATCTCCCACTGTCAGGGTCTGCTCCTGGAACACGAAACATGCCTTTTCCACAGATACTAGGAAGGCTTAAGAAACTCGAGGAAAAACAAAAGGGTGGGTGGCGTTAGACCAAACACACATAGCTAGATCCATGCCTGGGGGCCTTGGCACACAACGAACAGATCCATCTTCATTCAGCTCGTGAAGGGGCCCAGGAAACTGAGCTAGACCTGAGCTTGGACACGGTGGAATTTCTTATAGTGCTGGGACTTAGCAACAATCCCAGCAATGCTGACACTTAGCCTGGAATGACCACCCATGCAAAGTTCTCGCAGCTTCCAATCTGCTCTTCTGCACTCTGCCTGTGATGCTGCTGCTGGGCCTCAAGAAGCCACGTTTCTGCTTTATCAGCTCATTGCAGCAGACCCTGCCCATGGGGAAATCCAGAGGGACACTGGAAGGCTGGAGGGGAAGGAGCTGTTCCTTTCTGCTTCCGTCCTGTTCCAGTTGATGGGGCTTCACCCTGGCAGGAGCATTTGGCTCCACTTTGCAGGTTTTCCCTCCCATTCACCCAGCTTCACTGCACCCCTTTGAGATACCAACACCAACCAGCTGGCCGCACTCCCCACAGGTCTGGGTCCCAGATGACAGGGGCCTCCTCCGACCTCATGAGCCCTCATTAGCAGCCCTGCTCTGCGAGCCCAGTTCCGTGGCCTCCTCCGCCAAGCTTCTGAATTCCCATCCTAGTCTCTTCTCCTATTTCTCTCAGCCCGGAGGTGGTAGCTAATTTCTTTTATTATGACTCCAGGGTCCGTTTTTTTCCCCAACTCTCTGATGAAACAATTATTTTATATTAAATTATCTCTGTTGAAATAATTACGTGATTTCTATTTTCTTGACTGGGCCCTAAGTGATACAATTTGTTACTTGTAAGGGAGTTACACAGGCTTTTCCAATATTGTTCATGTTATGTTTACATTTTGGAAGATGTATTCATGTGCTAAAAATCTATGGATAATTTGCATTTTTAAAAAGAATGTGACAGATCAATATTACTGTCCTGAAAGATGTTCATGCTATATTGAGTGATAAAAGCAAAGGCTTTTATAAGTGGCAAGCATGTGTCTTATAATTTGAGAAAAATAAAGGAAATGGTTAAGAAGTATAAAATAAGACGATAGTGTGATCTCTGAGAGAAAACTTTATTATCCCTGTTAGCATAACTCTTAAAATATCTTTAACATATGTAACCAGGACAGTCTGACTTTTTCTGCCCATATTTAGCTGGGATTGCAATAACTATAAAACAAGATGCATTTTTTTTGATGCTTCTGCCACAATTTGAAACCCAAAACATTTATATAATATGCGTAATTCAAAGGCATATATGCTACTGCATCTAAAATTTAACTTTTTAGCTAAATATAGCTAAAACCAACTCACATGAAAGTCCACAGCTGGGAAGAAGAATTAGCAAAAACTTTAATTATGGCCTCATTTACACTTCTATTTTCAAGCCCATTCATGAATTAATTTTAACTCTGCGCCTCTGCCTTCCATCATGCTGTAAGTACCTGTCAGAAAATGACAGTGTTTGAGTATCCGCACATATGTTTGAGATTTCTACACCTTGATTCCTTTGTCAAAATTTCCACTTACAGCTGTGTGAGTGAGGCTCTATGGCAGAGGCAAAACGGTTGGTCTCTGAATGTGGCCAAAATTCCATACCCGGAGAATGTTCATTTAATGTATAAGCCAAAATAAAACTCCTGATTAAGACAGCTGACCTTCAACACATGATAAGGCAGGAAGGGAGCATGACAGAAGGAAGCAAGTGCTGAACAAGAACTTCAGCGAACCTGAGCTCACGGTCACATTCCCTAGTGTAACCTTGGGCTAATCTTATTCTGTAAAATGGGCACTGGACTAGTGGGACTTTGTTGTCCCTATGCAGCTTTCCATTATAAAAAGATCTCTCACCTGCAACATCTTAAAGTAACTCAGGTGAAGGCAGCGATTGCCACAATTTTAGATGGCATAGCCATATCAGCAAAAAAAGTTCAATATGCAATGCCCATATATAAATATTTATTCATAAATTAGATATGGATGCTGTTGTATTAATTATTACTAGTACTGGGTATCTTCGAAGACAGTGAATATCAGCCAGCATCCTCTCTCCTTCACTTGCAGCCACACCAACCTCCTTGCTGACCCTTGACCTTGCCAAGCATGTTCCCAGCTCACGGTCTCTGCACCTGATGCCTCTCCTTCAGCTAGCCACTCTGTTCACACCCTCACTACTTCAGGTCTTTGCTCAAAAGCCACTTTCTCAGAAGGCCTTCCCTGACTGCCCTATGGAAGATTACAATCTTTCCCAGTGCTGCCGCTTGTAGAGTACTGGGACTGGGTGTTCTCCATTTACCCTGGGGATACCTCCTCCCCCATCTCTACCCTTTTCTATACCCTAGGAGGCTGTCCTGCATGGATTACATGCACTGGGCTCCTTTGTGCTCTGGCTTTCAGTTGAGTTTGGCCAATGGGAGGCACAAGCAGGGGACGGGATGGTGAGAGGAGAGAGAAGCCTGGGCGTTTATTCCCTCCGCAACTATCAGTGTAGGCCCAGAGGCTGGAAATAACTGCTGTCGTCTCCCAGGGCCACCTCTCCTGTTGGGTGCCCTCCTACATCCACAGCTGCTGCTCTCTCTTGATTTGGGTCACTGCTCCCTCCCCTGGAGGAGAGAGCTCCCCACTATTGGTAGCCCCTAGGGTGTTTCACCATTCCTTGTTGGTTTCTCTTAAACTCTACCTGGCCCTCTATAAATACTGTGCCAACTGTTTCTTTCCAGGACCCTGACTAACAACGTTTATATTGTGATATATGTTGATAATCTGATATTTATCTTATATATAATGTTATATATATTGATAATCTGTTTCCTCTCATTGGAATGTAAAATTCCTGAGGGTACAGACTTTTCCATCTGTTTCTATTGTTGTTGTTTTTCACTGCTATATCCTCAGTTCCAAGCACATAGTAGGCACTCAAGTAGTTGCCAATTAAAGAGATGAATCTTTTCCTCCTGGATCCCTATAGATTGTCTTGCATATTCCATTTTGGAAATCATCAGCTTAAGGAATAAATATATCTATCATTTGCCTGATTTTACTAACTCTTGGACTAATTTAGCCTACTCCTCATCTAATATGGAGCTCTGATTATTTTTAAATCATAAGAAATGTAATTTAGTATCACATCCTCTTGGAAGATCATACTTGCCTCCCACAAGATTCCTCTAACAATGGCCCGAACAGATATTGAGCCAATCATGAGAAAGACTTTATTAGTTCACCTTTTGGTGCTGTCTTTAACAGTTTTGTCCTTCTCCCTTCTGATTTCTGCTTTAAGATCTTGTCTTCCTTTCTTCTAATAAGGAAGATAAAAAACCACCCAAGGAAATATAGACTTGGCTGGCCCTCTTCATCCCTATTCATGACAGGAGAAAATCACTCAATGTCTTGTCCCCCAGCTCAATTATTTAATTCATATACAACGCTCCATTATTTAATAACTTATAATTTCTAGGGCTCAGTTGCCCAGAACAGACTTAACAGTTGTCTCTAGTAAAAACATCCCTTAGAGCAGAATAGCTAATTAAACAGAAAGTGAATTTTTTTTTAATCAGAAACACATACAAATCCTTTTTGTCCTTCAACGTGAACATTTAGTTGATTGCTTCTCACTGAATTACCTTATGCCTATTAAACATGACCAGCACTTTACTTTTGGATAAACCAGATCATTTTTCACATGCCTGAGTGAATTCTCCCCGCATTAATCGATAAACACAGCTGGGTTCTAAGCATAGCTACTGTACTGAACAGAACCTGATCTTCAAGACAAGCCCACAGAACCTGCTGAGCTTGCTTTGGGAGGGAGAACATTAGTGGCAAGAAACTGCTGAATCCTGCATCCAGGAGGAAAGATTCTGTAAACACAGTAACTTCCACGTGCAAGTGGCTCCATTTTTAAATGCCGTGCTCCTCTCTGGCTATATAAAGAGGCATGAGTAAGAGTTTTCTCACGTGGTTTTAAGTTTCTTGAGCTGCAAGTCAAAACATTGTGATGTTCAAACAGTCTTTGGGGAGAAGAGGAAATTAACTGCCAAAGTTATTAAAATGGAACTCTGCTTTCTATTACAACTAAAATGGATTAGCTTGCACAAAGAGTTATGTACAAAGTAAGATATAATTTTCTTTACTTGAACTGGAACAACATTTATATTTTCCCACTGTTGGCAGTGCTTTGACTCTCCAACATTATGTTAGTTTTCTAGGTCAGCTCTAACAAGTACCACAAACTGGGGGGCTTGAACAACAGAATTTATTGTCTCACAGTTCTGGAGGCTGGAAGCCCAAGATCAAGGTGTCAGCAGGGGTGGTTCCTTCAAAGGACTACGGAGGAGAATCTGTTCCTTGTCTCCCTCTTAGCTTCTGGTGGTTTTCTGATGTCTTTAGTGTTCGTTGGTTTCTCTGCATCATCTCTAGCTCTGCCTTCATCTTCACAGAACGTTCTCCTGGTGTGCATGTCCATGTCCAAATTTCCCCTTTTATAAGGACACCAGTCCTATTAGCCTAGAGGCCCGCTCTACTCCAGTATGACCTCATGCTAATTTAACTAAGTACACGTGCAATGACTCCATTTCCAAATAACATCACAATCTGAGGTTAGGACTTCAACATGAGATTTTTTTTTTTATGGGGGAATCACAATTCAACCCATAACAAATGGTAAAAATTTTTAAAAATTAGGTCTCAAGGAGATGCTAAGAGACCATTTTGTTCAACTCCTTTATTTTTTAGTGAGAAATAGAAAGATAAAGTGACTTGTCCAGGGTTTCCTGGCAGAGTTAGTAACACAGACCCAGAACACAGGACTTCTGGCTCTGGTTCTGGTGCTTTCCAAGCACACGACACTGCCTTTAGTTGTATTCTTCCTGAAGCTGAGACTCATTGGCATTTACAGAGGGGGGAGCAGCAATAATGACCTGTCTTATCTGGAAAACCTGCCCAAAGGCTGAAGTGCATGTCTACACCAGCCTGCTTCGTGAGGCTCATCCCCAATAGGTGAATCAAGAAAGAGAAAGCTAGCTGTGAGTATTGAAAAATAAACCTAATTGGAGCACTGCACACAGTACCTGGCATGTGTGCTACACTCCAAGAAAGTCTGAATCAATAACTTAAACAAATTTTAGTAGTGAAAAGAATTTCTCACATGCGTTTAGAGCTTCTTTCACATAAAGTGTTATCAAATTCATTATCTCATTTGTTCCCTGCTAACTCTTGAGAGATAAGCATTATCGCTATTTGACAGAAAGAGAAACTGAGGTTGGAAGATAAGCGCTCTTTTTAACTCAAGTGTGACAGGCAGCCTGACTTGATAAAGCTTTCACGTTCTTGCAAGTTTGGATTCAAATTCCAGTGTTCTCTTTACTGAATTCTTGTCTTTGTGAGCAAAACTAAATTAAAATTTTTTGAAGTACATAAACTTCTTAGCATTTACCTTCAATTTTTTTCAACTTTGTTCCCTCCAAGTGTAAATTTGGAAGAACTTCTCACAGGTCAACACTTTTTCTCTAATAGCTCCTCCAAGTGCTTGCATGCACTGCTTAGCACTCAGCAGATGGTCACAATATATGAGTAAATGATGAAAGTCCCTCTTCAGACCTTAAGGTGTCACAGAGTCACACAAACTTAGGATTTGAAATGGCTTAGAGGGTTTCTAAATAATGTTCTCTGTCTTAGAGATAAGGAAGCTAAGGTCTTAGGCCTTAGAGCAAGTTAAAAACCCGGTATCCTGACTCTCAGCCCAGAGTTCCGAGGATTGCAGGAGCTGGCACCATTTCAATAAGAGACTGATCAGCTGGAAGAAAGTCCTGATCAGACGGCTTTTATCCCACTTTCTCTGAAGAAAGGTCATTAAAGATGCACGGGAGAGACTGCAAAAGAGTACAATACTGTGCAACAGTGATATTCAAAATGATTAAATTGGTGGCCCCAGTGCCCTTTGCAGGCACAAAGCAGCTCCTTTGTAAGGGAATGAAAAGAGGTCACATGTCGCGGGAAGAGGCTTCTTTCTATAGAGACCCCATTACCGCTCCGGAGGAAAGAACATCAATTCCTTCCAGGGAGTCTGTGTAAAAGATAATGTATGCTTCTTTTCTGGCTGTCAAGATTCACAAAAGAGATAGGAAGTTTGAGGCTCTATTACTGATGACCTTCCCACAGAACATGCCGCATCTCGTTTTTAAAAATAGCCTCTCTCCTGGGTGGAATATTTGATGGTCTTCATAAAGAAACTGAAAGCTTTGGCAGAAGTCTTGAAAAAGACAAAGAGTGGAAAAGAGAGAGGCAAAGAAGCAGGTCTCATTGGTCCTGGATCTTTCTGGACCTCAAAGGGGTCATCTCTCTGACCTTAGGGTCTCATCACCTCTAAGTGGTTTTCTTGATGGCCTCAACACTTCTCGGCCATTCTCCATGCTGCTGAACAGGTGGGTTGTGTCATCACCCATGGAAACCTTGGTCATCTCCACAGTATAAAGTCCACCTTCCTAAGCACAGCATGCCAGGTCCTCCTCAGAAACCCAGTTTTGGCTCCATCTCATTTCCTCCTCCACTGCTCCAGGTAACTCATGTTTCAGCCACATCTGGCCACTTGTTACTCCTCAGACATGTCACTTGTTGCCACTGCCTGGGCATGCCCTTTGTTCTTTCCTTCATTAATCAAAATTCTCCCTGAGAATCAAGGCTCAGCTTGGACGCTCCCTTCTCTGAGAAATCTTTCGGACACAATGAATCACTCCCCGACCTGAGCTCTTTCTCTGGGGCTCGGTTCAGAGCCTCCTATTTTAGGCTCTGATTCTTTTGATTAGACCTAAAGACAGAGCCGTTGTAAACCAATTCCAGATCTAATACGTTTTTTAAAACTTTTTCTTTTGCACTAATTTTACAATTACAGAAAAGCTGCTGAGATGTACAGCGAGCTCCCACCTAATAACTTTTAGAATCATAAAGTATTTTAGAGAAACTTATAAAGGATGATATTACAAACACCTACATACTCACCTCCCATCTTTACCAAATCTCAACATTTTGCCGTTTGGCTGCAGATTTTTATTAAACACATAAAACATTACTGCTGTTTTTAAAGTCCTCCATGGACTTCTCCGGATCCCAATCTCTCTTCCTCCTCAAAATTTATCATGCTCTTTATTTGGCATTTATGACTAATTTGCATGTGTTTATACATTTACTACATATGCATGTTTCCCAGAAATTAAATATGATTGTTTTGTATATTGTCAAACTTTATACATATAGCACCATTTGCTATATATCACACAGTTCTGCTTATTTTGCTTTTTCACTTAACACGTGTTTGTGATTCTGTAGATCTAGTTCATTCACTTAATCTTCCGTATAGTATTTTATTACACGAATACACAATCATTTATTCAATTCAATTGCTAGACATTTCAGTTTCTCATTTGTTTTTTAAGGTGGACAAGGAGTAACATACTCAATGCACATTGCAGCACTGGTTTTAACAGCAAAACCAGGAAGTGGGTCTGAACTGATCCATTAACTCCTGAGCTTTCCCATTCTAGCGCACCATTCAAGCTCTTATGGAACAAAAACATTAGAGACATCAAAATAATATTTTTGGCCGCGATGAGATGTTTCTTATTCCTTTCAGTTCAGCAAAAAATCCTTTTCTTCTTTAAATAACTAAAAAAGCAGGGGGGAATCCATCAGCATTTTCTAGGGAAATACATATCTAACAGAGGCCCCTTTAGACTCTGCCAAGCTCTTTCAAACCTGAAGAATGGAGGCAGGAGATATTGTTTGTACTTATTGTACAGAATGGTAGAATTAAATCCAAAGGGTGAGTGGAGTCTTGTCTCTCTAAATTCTGGTTTCCTGTCTCAGCACTGGCCCAGATTGCCTTAATTGTCCCTTGAAATAATAAACTCTTAAAAAAACAAAGCCAGGCTACACAAGACATGATCGTTTTCCCCCAAACAGTTTTAAAATATGCCTGTAAATAATTCTACAGAAAAGAGACGAGTAGACCCAATCAACTGTTTTGTGAGCTAATTAAAGCAGAACTTGGATTTTATTTCTTAATGATTTTATACAAATTGGAAGGAAGGTGAGAAATGCTATTTCCTGTTCGGGCAGGAAAATAGATGCCTTGTATCAACTCGGAGTTCCCCGGTCGCACTGGGACATTTACACTGGGAACTTTTTCTTTCTGGTTATTATGAGAGTACCTAATGCCATAGATAAGGTGGTAGGATTGGGGATATTGGGTGAATAAGATAGTGTCTGCTCTGAGGAAGCTACCAGCCACTCCCTGAATATGTGAAAACTATTTTTTTAAAGCTTCAGTGCGTGGTTGTGTATCCTAGTTGTTAGCTTTTAGTTCTTCACGTGAGCTGCTGCCACAGTATGACAACTGACAGATGGGTGGTGTGGTTCCGCAACTACAAAATAAACTGAGGCCATGGTGGTGAAAGCACCAAATCTTAACCACCAGACCACCAGGGCTGGCTCATGCAAACACAATTTTAAAAGAAGAGACAGACAGAGAAAGAGAGAGAGAGAGAGCATGGTTCTCTGGGGGAAGGCAGGAGATTGGGAATGCTGAAAAACAGGATAGGAAGATGCGAGCAAAGATGGAGTAGTACCAACTACCACTGCCCCCAAGGAACACCTGCAAATAACACATCTGCTTGGATCCAAGTACCGGTTTCCATTGTTTGGTCATTTCCAACACTGCCCAAACCATGACATATGAGAAATAATACAAAGTAGTCCAAGAGAATAAAAGCAAACTGGAGTGCACTGCACACCAGCTATGTTGAACTATTTTCTCTTCTCCAAGAGGGCCATGAATTTTGGAGCCTCCAAGTCTTTGCTTATACTCCTACTTTGGATGACATTCTCTGTGTCCTCCATGTCTCTCTGTCCTCATGTGTCTTTAAAGCTCATAGAAAGCATCACCTCTCTAGGAAATCCTCCTCACTCCCCTCTGGAGGGGGAATCATCCCTGTGTGTGCTCCCAGAGAAGGCTACCTCTGCCTCTGTAAAGTACAGCACTCAGCACGGTCTGACAAATAGCCTCGTAAACGGTGCCTGCCTCCATATCCTCCACTCCTAGAAGATAGAGATTCGTCTAATTCATCTTTTTGGTCCCCTTAGCACCTGGCATAGTGCCAACATGTAGTAAGTGTTCAATGTGAAGTTTAGTAAATGACTTGCATAGCTGAAAAGGAAACGTAGCATTGGGAATTAGAGTAATCAACAGATCGAGTAGTGTAATTGCCTTAAACTTCACGTGGATAGGATTCCTCTCAAAATAGCTGTGATTTTTTTTTTCTTTTTTATAATTGGCATTAATTCCCTTAGCTCTACCTAGAAGTCCTAGGTTCAGTTCCTGGGGCAAGAAACCAAGTGGTGTATATTTGTGTGGGTGTATGACGGCATTCCTCATGGAGCTCTTTCACAGATTGTGTTCAAAGTAGGCCATTTCCTGCTGGATTTCTCGCCTTTCCTAGATCGCATATGGTGAAATGTTTACTTTTATTAAAGTAAATAGTCCAAAAGTATGCCCAGAAAAGAAAATTTAAAAGGCAAGGAGAAAAACACTAGACATAGAGTTTAAAAGGGTATATTATTTCCCCGTCAACCTCATGGTTTATTATATTTCTTGAAACAATTGTGAATGGCTTCTCCTTCAGTAATGTTTGGGTTTGTTCTTTTTTCTATTTTCTCTATAAAATTTATAGGAAAAGAGAAACATACCTTAGCAAGGAAGGCTGAGAAGAATTATTTTAAAACTCAAACATATCAGGCCAATATATTCATAATATAAAAACAAAGCAAAGCAAACAAATAGATGGAGCAAAAATAAAACAAAATAAGAAATAAATGAAAGTACCAATAGAAGGAAAAGTAACACGTAATTTTGTTTAGTTCCAGTTCCGGCTATGACACAGTAATAAGCATACACTACTCCACATCTCCCATTGAGCGCCACTAAAAACATAAAGACATCTATCTGAGGACTCAGAAAAGTAAATAATAGCAGATGTTTTGGGAAAGAAATCAAAATTGAAAGTACGACCAATATGGCAGTGAGTTAACCGATATTTTCTTTTTTTTCCTAATTTCTCAGCTTGGATTCCAGGGCATCCCAAACCCCAGAACTGCACATCACACAGGGAGGAACAGCTCCAAGAGAAACTTACTACCTGTTTTCCTGACCACAGGACAGGGAAGGAAGAGTATGTGGGATGGAGATAGTAGAGAGAAAGCTCTTCCTATGTTTGTTTTTTATTGTTGTGCTTACCTGACTCAGTCCCAGACAAGCCCCAGTCACAAGGCTGCACACTAATAGATGCAGCAACTATGCATATACCTAAAAGACTGAGAGAAATTCTTTCTCTTTGAGCAGAGAAACTGGAAAACTGGGTCCCCGTGGTCCAAAGAGAATGTGTGGAGAGAGGAAATCGTCATTAATTTTCTTCCTCCCTTCTCTCTCGTTGCTTTGCCCTCAAGGTGAACCAAGTTATAGGAAGTGTGAAATGGCACAGGGAATCTAAAATCCTGACTTTTAAGTCAGAAGACCTAAGAAAGGGACTCCTGGGGACTGGAAAGAGGAGAGGAGTCAGGGAGAGGAAAGTGGGAGAGAAAAAGAGCCCCTAAATGTAGTATGAAGTCCTAGGCTCACCCCTGAGTTGCACATGCAGTGAATTACCTGAGGTAGCATAGCAAATGCTTCAAGAACTGAACTAAAGCATAAAACAAAGACTGGGTTGACCTCAAGGTGATGTCCATGTGGAGCAGACAGATTAGCACCACAAATGCTTTTAAAAGTAAACTGACATCGGAACCACAGCCTACAAAAGGCAGGTTGTGACTTGAGGCAAGAACCACACCAAGTTGATTATCTGCTAACACAAACAAAAAACAAAAGCAAACAAAAGGAAAACATTCTCTGGAGGATTTTAACAGGAGTAGAGTCACAAACATAATTCTCAAAATCTCTATGATACAATCCAAAATCACCAGACATAAAAAAGAACCAGGAAAATCTCAATAACTCTGCAGAGAAAAGACAATCAACTGACATCAACTCCTAAGATGACCCATATGTGGAAATTACTAGACAAAACTTGAAAAGTAGGATTTTAACTATGCTCCATGAACAGAAAAAAGAATCTTTTGAAATGAACAGAAATGAAAAATACGATAACTGAAAAAATTTACTGTGTAAGCTCAATAGCAGAGTGGAAATGGCAGAAAAAAGAGTCATTGCACTTGAAAATAGATCAATAGAAATGATCCTTTCTGAACAAAACAAACAAAAAAATTTAAAAAAATATAAGCAGAGCCTCGGGGACCTGTGGGACAGGTCTTGCATTTGTGTCACTAGAATCTGAGAAGGAGAGAAAAAAAGAGATCAGCGCAGAAAAAATATAGCTGAAAACTTCTCAAATTTGTGAAAGCCATAAATGTACAGATTTAAGAGGCTGAGAGAACCCCAAAACAGAAAAAAAAATCATGCAGAGACCATCATAATGCAACCACTGAAATCCAAAGATGAAGAAAAAATTTCGAAAGCACCAAGTAAAAACGCAACATTTTACATATAGGAGAACAATTTAAATGACAGCGTATTTCAATGGACATCCTGGAAGTCAGAGGACAGTATAATAATCTATTTAAAGTGCCAAAAGCAAAGAACTCTTAATTCAGAATTCTATATCCACCTAAAACATCCTTCAGGCAAAATGGTGAAATAAAGACATTCTTGGTGAAAAAAAACAAGCTAATAGAATTCCTACAGCAGATCTGCTCTAAAAGAAATGATAAAAAAAGTTCTTCGGGCAGAAGAGAAATGATACTAAAAGGAAACCTGGAACCTCGGGAATAAAAGAAGAGGAGAAGAGAAATGGTAACTACCTGGATAAATAAAAACAGCTGTTTTCTTCTTCCTCTTAAGTTTTTTGAAATATGTAGGACTGTTGAAGGTAAAAATTATAACACTGTCTGATGGGGCTTTCAACTTTTTATAGAATTAATACATTAAATAACTATAGCATAAAGGAGGGAGCATAAAGGAACCTACATGATTATAATGTTTCTATATTTTTCTTTAAGTGCTAAAATATGAACTGCCTGTAGATTGTGAAAAGATAGGTATGTATATTTTAATCATTTGAGCAACTAATAGAAAACTATAAAAAGAGACACAGTCAAAAAATTGATAAATTAAAATTGAACACTAAATACTATTCAAATAATCAAAAGGAGACAGAAAAGGGGAAATAGAAGAATGAAAAACAGAGCAAACAAATAGAAAAACAATAAAATAATAGACCAAAATCTATCTATATCAATAATTATATTAAAGTAAATGTTCTAGGCAAACTAAAGGAGATCATCAGATTTGAGAAAAAATTAAGACTACTACATGCTGTCTACAAGAAAGCCACTTTAAATATAATGATATAGATAGGTTAAAAGTAAAAAGAAGGAAAAAAGATATATCAGGCAAACACTAGTTAAAAGAAAACTAGAGTAGCTATACTAATAATCAGATAAGTAGACATCTGAACAAGAAAATTACCAGGGATAAAGAAGGACATAATATAATGATGAAAGGGTCAATTCACCAAGAAGATATAACAATCTTACATGTGTATGCACCAAACAACAGAGCTTTAAAAATGCACAAACCAAAACTGACAACACTGGAAGAAATAAACAAATTAAAAATCATACTTTGATTATAAACACTCCTCTTAGTAATTATTAGAACAAGTAAACACAAAATCAGCCAGGATACGGAAGTTCTGAATAAGACTCAGCCAACTTGACATACACCAAGATAGACAATATCTTGGGTCATAAAACAAACTTTAACAACTTTTAAGTGATTGGAATAATACAAAGTATGTTCTCTGATCACAATGAAATTAAACTAGAAATCAATACCAGATAGACGCTGAAAAAAACCAAAACATTTGAAAATTAAATAACATGCTTCTAAATAATCCATTGGTCAAAGAGGAAGTTTCGAGGAACATTAGAAAATATTTTGAACTCAATGAAAATGAACATACCACATGTGCTGGTCAGTTTTATGTAGTCAACTTAGCTAGGCTATTGTCTTTGTTATTTAAGGTGCTACTGTGAGGTAGATAGGATGAAGTTTCTAGTCATTTTGCTTTAAGCAATCAAGATAATTGGTTGAAAGTATAAAATAAAGATATTTTAGAACACTGTCCCTCTAAAATATTTTCCCAACTGCTGTGAGCTTATTGAATGAAAGAATTGATTTGAGCCATAAGAAACAGTCCAGTTCTTGTTTGAACTCAGCTATATATTTATTCTTCCACCCAGATGGCTATTTATTGCATACCCTCTGTGTGCCAGGTAGTATGTTAAGCAATAAAGACAACACCAAAAATTAAAGAAAATGAATGAACAAATCTTCACGGAACTTTTGTGTGGATCTTAGGGAATGACTAGAGAATAAGCAGAAAAGCCCATTCCAGGCAGAGGGGAACAGTATAAACAAAGAAATAGAATAAGAGAAATTATGCTCTGAGAAACTCCCGTTTCTGCCCCTTAAAAGCTCTTTGCTTCCTTCTGCGGGTCTCCAACGGTGGGGACTGAAGACACCAACTGCAGTAAGGCAGCTGAAGCATACGGAATGACTGAGTGGGCTGCTGGTAGAGTAACAGAAGTTCACAGAATAGGTAGCCAACCCAAGGCGTGGGAAAGGGAGAGATGGAACACACATCTCAGGCCAAAGCAGATTTTGTACTCCAAACGGAATTTTTATAACATCTTTAATTAAAAAAATATTATGCAAGGCTGGGCGAAAACTTGTCCAATTCCAAGCTACCCAAGCTAAGTCTTGACTTCATTTAAATCCTATTACAGCACAATCTTCTCAAATATCCTTACACGATATTTAGAAAGTCTAATTCTTCAATTTAATTTTCTGAGAGTGTGGATTAAAAATGCATACGAGCAACAGAGGGAATTAGCCAAAGAAAAGCTATTCCTTGCGCGGAAAAAAAAGCCTTCCACAAAGTAAAAGGAATCTTATAGTTTTATTATTTTTATTATTTGTTTCCCTCTTACGTATGAGGAATAGAGAATGGGAAGTCTAAAACCTCAATTAAAAGCTACCACTAGGGCTTATTTTTTATTTTATGCTATATGGCTTTAGCAGAGGAAACGTGATTCTAGAATCACCCCACATAATTTTGGTAGAGAAAGCATAGATGTATTGCTACTCAAATGCTGAAACGACTATTTGGCTTATTCAGAATTATCTGAACTGTTAGCTCACATAGGCTAAGCATGATAGGCATCAATCCTTTCATGACCTAATTCATCGGCCTTTCCAAAGTTACTAATGCAAATTTGTCAAAGATGCTTTCAAATTTTATTCTAAAAGGATTCATTGTTTGGTTTATTCTGCTTCTCAAAAGTCACAGATAAGTTTCATTTGCTCACTGCTAAGTCCCTGTTTTTAAAAAAGTAATACTTGTATTGGAAGGTAAAACACCTACATTGCAGGAATGAAATAGAAGTAGAGAGGAGTCAAGCAGCAACCAGCAATAACAGGTGGATTTGAGTCTGGGAGGAGAAGACATAGAGAAAATGGACAAGAAGTGATGAAAATTTACTTGACTACATCATGGGCCTACAAGGGAAATATTGCTCTAAAAATTCCACATTTGAATAGGCACTGCATGGTAATTGGAGTTAATTTGTTAATGGGTCTTATCTAAATATGCATTTCAAAATACATTATAAAATAAGTTCTAGATCAGATTTTGACTCAATTGGAAAATCATCATAAGTGATTTAGAAGCTAAGGACCCAGAGCCGTTCATTTGTTTCAAGCCAATAATTTTGGAGAGCCTCAGACCAATAATGAGGAGAGTCTAAAAATGAACCCAGAATAGAACATGCATATTTACAAGCAGCCATGAGCCTGCAGTTTCTTATCCATAAATGGCAACATCATGCTTGTTATCTGCATAGGCGTAGGAGCACAAAAAATATATCATACCTCTACCAAACAATTTTTTCCCTAAGAAGCACAAAATATTCAGTGAGATCTTGGGCCCTTGGGCATGGCAAATCAAAAATGTATCTATGGGTGAGATATGGATCCTTTATTATAGAAGAAATCTTTAGAAAGTCTAGCCTTTTTTTGTTTCCAGAGAAAGCATAGTCAACATTATTAGGAATGATCAATCTGGATAGCAGCCACAACAGAAAACTAAGATTTGCTTATCAGAACTTGTGATATTTCAGATAACACTGAGTGAAAGTTACCCTTATCTAACTAACTTTCAGTATCAGTAAAAACAGAATTTTAATAAGATATTGGAACTGCTAAAAAAATATTTATTGGTGCTTTTTTAAGCTTTCCACTTCTACCACTTTAAAAAGAACTCATATTTTACATAACATCTTGTGTAAATAAAAAGTTATTGTTACTTGCTTATATATAGAATAAAGCCACTATATATCTATTTTATTATCCTAAGCCAGTATAACATATATTAAAAATAATGTTTTCCTTATAATTATAAAAAATACTTTACAAGTGAAGTTTTTTCATTAGTTAAAATTTTCTTTTAGTTTATATGAGTTATTTCCTTATTCTACCAAGTAACATTGATTTTCTATTAATATTTCAGACTATGCATTTGATCACAGTAGTGGGGTACTAAAAAAAAAGTCTAGGCACAATTTTTATCTCAAATGCCTTAGTCTTGGAGGAAGAGAAAGATGGGCACACACAATTATAAAACCCAATAGAATATGAAATATAGAAAATGTGATGTGAGAATTATATAAGGGAAGGATACTATTTGGGAAATCAGAAAAAAAGCAAGGTTTCAGAAAAGATGTGAGATTTCCTTTGGGCCCCCTCCTTGTTTTCTGGTCCTGGAAAGGTCCATCCTACAGACTATAAAATTTTTCGGAGACCCACTGAAAAACAACATTGTGACCATAGTTTGCCTTGTCCTCTTTATGCTCACTGATATTCATGAATCCTCAATGTTCATTTTTAGATTCTCTATCTATACCTCTGAATACTCAAGATTATAAATAGAATTCTGAATTAAATCATACACTTTGCTGAACATCTAAAATGTCTGAAAGACAACATAGTGCTATTGATATAGAGATTAATAAGCTAAGACTCCTGCCTGAGAGGTTACCATCCATTAAAGGAAACAGACACATGAGCAGATATAAATTTAACAAGCTGTAATAAGATAACAAGGTACTAGGGGAAGAAAAGGAGGATATCATTTGAAACTACCATGCATTCTTGAAAACTGTATCTTAGAGTAGGTGGCCCAAAAAGTGAAATATTATCTAGCTTGAGGTGTTACTCTTTTCACCTCTGAAGACAATGGAGAAAATGAAACGAGTAAATAAAGGTAAGAAGTGATGAAGAAAAAAACCCTCAAAAAACTAAACCAAAAAAACCTCACAAAAACAAAGCCACATTAAGCAGTGGTTAGAGAGTCAAAACATGATGACCAGCTTAGTCTCTTTTGTATGATGTCATCTACAGCATGTGATTGTTTAAATCAAGGGACCTTGCAAATGTTAAACAAAATGAGGACAAACTGCAAGCATAGCTATAAAGAATCACAGGGAGAGACTTTCATTCACCTCATTTCAGACTGATGTGGCTCTACACTGCCTGGTCAAATAGGTTAGAAAATGCTGCAAAATTGACCAATTGATGAGGTAGCATTCTACAAGGTCTAAACGGAATAAAGCATCAGGATTTTCAGTTCCCAATAGAACAGAGTAATGAGTATCAGACTAGTTTTTCTGCCATTAAACAACTATACAACTGGAAGCAACTACTTTCAGGCATTGACAAGACAGAGCACAAGACTGTAATCTTTGAGAAAGGACAAACACACAAAATGAGCTCCATATTAACTCTGAATTTCTGCTGGAAGGCACATGCCAAGACTTGACATATAGAAAGTGGGGCCCAAGCAGAGAATAGTATTTTCAACTGTGTGAAGGAGACAGACACTGGGCTACAGGGATGGTAAGAAGGCTGGAATCTTCAGGGCAAAGAGAAGAGGATGGATTTCTGCAAATTCAGAACTCCAGAAATCTGCTTTGGCATCCCTAGGCATCTGCAGGGCTAGACTTCATGAGGTCTGGCAGAGAATAACTTCTGGGGAATTGTGAGCCTAACAGAGTTTCTGAAGGTTGCATAATGTAGGGAAACTTTGGAGTTCTCGTAATTTAGAGTGGGAAGACTTCACTAAATGCCCCAAGCATTCAGTTAAAACTTCATAAAAAATCACAAATAAAGAGTAGGGATACACCAGCTCTCAAGTATCCTTTAGATCCATCCTAACAAACCTCCAAAAAGCCTTGATAGCATAAATCTGATTCTCCAATAAATTAAATACTTTCCAGAAAAAAGAATCAA